ATTCAATTCAATTCAAAAATACTTTATTGATCCCAGAGGGAAATTAGGTGCTGTTGTAACTCATATTTAATGTATAAACAGTATATGTATGAGGCCTCTCAAGTGACACAGAGGCAGAGGCACAGAGACAGGCCAGGTTGTTCTCTGTGTTTCCTGTTGTTGCAATAAAACTCAGCTGATCATCTCACGGAGTACCTTCATTCTTGGACCACGTATTTCTGTCTTTGTTAAATAAATATTACCATAACACTTATTTTACCCGCTGTATGATGATGATGATGGTAAATGGACTGTACTTGTATAGCACCTTTCTATCCATCCAGGACACTCAAAGCTCTTCACACTACAATATGTGTCCTCATTTACCTGTTCACACAGCACTCTATTAGGTCTCACTACAAAACTAACAAATCAATCTATAGTTATTATATATATACATTCATACACTGATGGGACACACATCAGAGGCAAAGTGGCTTGCATAAGGACACAACAACTGAGACAGCTGGAACAGGGGATCGAACCGGCAACCTACCGGTTCCAGAACAACTCTTCTAACTACTTGTAGGAGGTGAGCTTAAGGTCAATTAAGCTTTTCCCACATCTCTCATACACAAGGTTATGAGGAAACTTTTACCAAGGTATTTCTCATTACTTGTTAATATCTTGACTGTGCGAAGGGAAAATTGACACAACAAGTGAACGTTCAGACGAGTTCAAGTTGATTCATAAAAGACTATGCAATCATTTATTTACACAAATTGAACCGATCATAAGTTACACTTGATTGTGGTTATTCCTATAACAAGCGTCAGAGTTAAATGAGATAAAACCCGCGTCCGAATTTCAATTCACATCAACTGAGATTACTTAAATATAGAACAGTAAAATGTCAGTTCTGATGTTAACAACCAAACAATTTTACTGGCACTGTTAGCTTAAGTTTTGGCAAATTAAGAACAAGGAAAGGAGGAAAGTAAGATTAGTATGTTACTACTACTTTTACTTTTATCAAAGTGTGGGTCAACCGGAACTGCACGTCTTTTCTAAGCTCAGGTTCCACATGACACGTCACTCCGAACATATCAGCTTTACCTGGTGATGGCTTCTTAAGGCACCCTCGGGGTAGGAGCTGGCTTGCCTTCGATCAGTCAGGGAACTGATGTCGGCTCGCTTACCGGTCGTTGGCTAACAGCTGTTTTTCCAGGTAACTTTCGTCTGTTTCAGTCCAAGCCAGAAAAATTCAAGCTGTATCCGGTTCCTCTTTCCAAAATAAAATCTCCCCTGGGGAGTTAAAAACACACTTTAAAGGCTTGAAGCCTCGATTTGGAACCACCGGCAGATGTGCCGGGTCCCTGGCTGTGAAGTCTTCCCTAGCTAGCTCATGGGATCAGACTTAAAGCCAAACTGAGGTTTCTCCGGAGAGAATCCCAGCTGTCTTCCTAGGTTGGAATCAGGAAGAAGAGTGTCGTTCAAAGATTTGCCAGCCGGCGCCAGCCCAAGGTTAAAATTCTGTGGTTGTTCAACAACATGATATGATAACCTCTTTTCAGCTTTCTTCTGATAGACTCTAAGATAAATCACTGCAAAACATTTATGATGATTAATTAACATTTCTGTTTTATAATCAATTCTGAACCTTCTGTTAGTCCAGATAAATGAAAGATTTTCTCA